ATTTATTCATGTATCCATGTAGGCTTCTCGAGTATAAAATTTCATGAGAATTACTACCATCCATAAATATTTACAAGGCTACCTTTCCAGTAAAAGAACATGTGTGAAACTTCACATTATTATGTTCCGAAGCAGTAATTCAAGACTAATCCTCAGGACATCCAGAAGGCCAGCATTCCCTAATAGGCACTCTTCCAGCTCTATTCAATTCATATTACCACCCATTCCAATAAAGAGTTGGACGGACAGAAGCTGCAGTATTACGTAGCTCTGCCATTATATCATTACCTCTAGGTCATTTATTACGGCAGATACAGTGCTGAGATAGTTTAAACAAAGGTACGTTTGCGGTGGAATGGAATTATTAGCATATACTTTTAGATGACAGTCTGATGATATATTCTCCGATGGAGAACGAGTTATGTTAATATTCCTGCCGGTTATGACCACCGGACCAGGGAGGTAGCAGTTTATGCTTATGTGGTATTGAGATGGAAATTATCTCACAATCTTTGAGTTAGGACAACTGGGTGCACGTCTCCAAAAAGGATAAACACCCACCGAGATATGCGCCTTTCTGAGAGATTAACGAAAAAGGAAGGAAATAATAAAAAGTGCCGACAGCTGGACCTACGAGCAACTAGATTCTCATCTCTTACGACTATGAATAAAATAATGTTCAAGGCGATCCATATTGTGTCCACTAGAACATGAAATAATTACGATGTGGTGAAAAAAATTTCAGTTCTGGACTATCATCGACCAACGATTACAAATTCTTTTATTTGGTAAATAGTTCACATGTTGATGATATACTTGGTTAAGTAGGTACATATCAACTCCAGAATTGTCGAGAAATCTATATCAAGACGAATGCTCGAGATAATTTCGAATGGATTCGACGTAATGAAATATTCGAGGAAATATTCATGTAATATGGAGACACTTGTTCGAATATATAAATATTCATCGCGAATATCACTGATGATTGGAGTTGGACGATTGGAAATACCGAGTGAGATACTATATGTCGGCAATTTCATAATGCCAGTAATTAAAGGCACTTTCAATGTCAGCAACAATTCTTTACTACTTTGTAATAATTATCATGCCAAAGCGTGCCAAAGGATTCGTCGTCGATATACCATTGATCATACACTGGAAAAAAAAATGAGTGAATTTTCACTCAAACTTCACTCAATAATGTCTCAATTTCGGTCCACACCCGATTGAGTTGAAAATTCACTCTACTTGACTGAGTGAAATGGTAATTGAATGAGTGAATATAAGGGATCACAATTGAGTCAATGTTCCCAGTTCAGATTTGAATATTATTTCAGCTTTGTGATTTCTTGAGTGAGTTTCAACTCATTTTTGAGTGCCTAGAACATTTATTGAGTATGTATATGCCCATTATTGAGTGCTTTTATACCCAAAATGAGTATTTCAAAACTTTTCATGACTGCATGGTTTTATATAATATTGAGTAAATATGATATATAATACAAAAGTTTATTAACAATCAGAGTAGATTACAATACAATTACAATCACAATGTACTCCTAATGAAGAACAAAGCTATATAACACAATTTGAAATCATCAGTACATACGGTCTCGCCTGCCGAAATCAAGTATGACTTCTTCTCGCTGCAGAATCTTACTAACAAGCTCGTTGACACGTTGACAGTCACATCGATCTGCAGACAAAAAATGCATATATAAACAGCTGATTCAAAAATGTATTCGCCAGAGCAGATCAGTTCTGGGTATATGTTACCTAAATAGAGACAAATTCACGAATATCGTTTCAAACAAATATTTTATCGATCTCATGAATGATCACAATTGAATTATTCAATCAGTTTTGATAACACTTTCTCAATTAGGATTCAATATACCTAATTTGGAAAAAATGTGATCAATGATGATTCAATTTACTCATTTCTGATTTGAAATACTCTTATTTGAATAATTTTCAGTCACTATTGAGTGAAAAGCAAACACACGAACATGGCCGTGCATGGCTGTGAAAGACATCAACGGCGAGATGGACTATTCAACAGAAGAATACGTATATTGATTTATCTGAACGTCAAGGTAATCGGATATAAATCAACACTATATATACAATTCAATTCTTAAAAATCACACCATCCAAATGATTATTTGAATTATTTGATACAATTCATGATCATCAGCCATGTTGTTGAAAGCCATCATGTATTTTACGAAATCAAACTCACCCGCAGTATTGGTATTCCCAAACTTCACAGATATAATCTGGCTGATAACATGTTTGTGCTCGAACTTGCAGCAAGTACTTCTATTCAATTATATAATTCACTTCGCTGAAATGGAAAGCACAGGATTGTTTTTATGCACTTAACTTCCATCAAGACTGACGCTGCGTTATCAATTGGACAAAACGGCCTCTGTTTAGTCTCGACCTGGCTCGAGTCTTCCTCGCTGATGACCACAGAGATTCGGACATTCCTTTACTTCATCAAGAATACTTAAAACATATAATATTGTGGTGACTTAGAACGGTCATCACGTTATTCCCAAATACACTGTTCACTGTTTGCATGTTGAGAAGGGACTGAGACAGTGAGATTACTGAGATGCTAACAATATACTGCGCATGGACCGGCCCTTTCACCAATTATTTGGTGAAATCGCTCGAGAATGAGTGATTCTCACATGTTTCATCTAATGATTGAGTAAAAGCCACTCTAATATGGTTTCCTTGTTTGTTTTATTCCAAAATTTGTTCTATTCAATCAAATTTGTCATAAACATTGTCATTATTGGAAGGAATTGTGAAAATACCCAGATTTCATTGAATATTTACTCAAAAAGTTCACTCAGTAGATTAACTCATTACCAAATTCGCAGTCACTCAAAAGGATTTGTTACAGTGTATACCAAATTCAACATTTGAAGTCTTAATTGACAATTTTACAAAGACATGCAAATAATTTCAATGACGTCTAATGATATCTGAAGGGAGTCAATTGTTTTCAACTACTTCTAATGGCTTTTGGAAAAACAATAAGCTACTTTTACTGCCATGAACTTCTGGAATCTTCGAGGGAATCTTTCAATGTCTTCAAGAGACCTTCAGAGAATCACAATGCTTCCAAAAGATTATCGAATGCATCAAGAATGATTCAAGGAGTCTATTAGAGTTTCAATGACATCCAATAACATACAAATTATTTCAAATTGAACTAGTTGGAGTTGCTCTCAAAGAGGTATCATAACTTTCAAAGGAATACACGGACTTTCATCCCAGAGAAATCCTTCAAAAAGTATAAATGACTCTCAATAGTTCACAAGTACTGCTGCATACCTCAGATAACTCAAAGTTGAAGCCTTTCAATGCCTTCAAGAGATCTCCATCGACTCAGAATGCATTCAAAAAAGTTTAAAAAATTGTGAAAGTGGTACTGCACATCCAATAACATCAAAATACTTCTAAATACATCCAGTTGGACTTACAATTCCAATTGATCCTGTGGACCTCATTTGTCAAATATCAAAGGCTTGAAATGGCTCACTATGACTTTCATGTACTTTTGAAAAGTTCTAAAGTCCACCAGTCTTTTAATGTCATAATGCTTTCGAAACAGTCTCAAAGACTCTTTTGCTATACAATATGTTGTTTTTATTACAATGCCTTCAGGAGAGTTCCTAAGATTCCATGAGTGGTACTATATGACATCCAATAACATCAAAATATATTCAAATACATCTAGTTGACTTTTAGATAATTCCGAGGATAACTCCAAATGGTCCTGGGGACCTCATTTGTTAAATATGAAAGGCTCAGAACGGTTCACAATGACTTTCATATACTCTTAAAATCTTCTAAAGTCCACCAATCCTGCAATGTCAGCGATGCTCTCAAAACAGTTTCAAAGACTCTTCTGCTATACAATATGATGTTTTGATTACAATGTCTTCATCAAAGTTTCGAAGAATTCATACCTAAGTACGAGGGGTAAATCTCCTTGGAAGTCTGGTGTACACTCCATTGGAAGTCTTTGGAATTCTTTGGAATTCTTTGGAAGTCTTTGGATGTTTTGAATGTCTTTGGGAGTCTTTGGATGTCTTTGGAAGTCTTTGGATGTCTTTGGAGTCTTTAGAAGTCTTTGGGAGTCTTTGGAAGTCTTTGGGAGTCTTTGGGAGTCTTTGGAAGTCTTTGGAAGTCTTTGGTAATTGGAAGTCTGGTGTACACATTTTTCCTGGAGATTTACCCCTCGCCTAAGTAGTACTGTGGCACCCAATAACATAAAAATATTTTCGGATACATCTAAATAGTTCGACTTTAAGGTAGTTCAGATTGGTCCTAGAAACCTCATTTATCGAGTATCAAAGGCTTACAATGGTTCACAATAACTTTCATGTTCTTCGAAAAAGTTCACCAGTCTTGCAATGCTTTCAAAACAGTTTCAAACACTCTTCTGCTATACAATAATATGTTGTTTTAATTAAACTATCTGACCTAACTGACTTGAATTACAATGATTATTATGGTCCTTCCTGTGATGAAGACAGAGCAACACGAATTGGAGTGGGTAAACAAGCTCGGGGAGTTTGCTGTGCCGAGCGGCCCGTGAATGGATTTCTGAGACGATTTCCATTTCCTTCACGAATCGTCCATTCTGTTTGCCGGAAACTTGCGTGTTTGTTTAACCCAATTCAGTGAGCCAGGCAGTCGAATCGTTTCGGAAAACAAACTACGTTGGTAGATAGCAAGAAGTCAAGAACCAACCTTCACCTCTATTTCGCAGCGCTGCAAAAACACCATAATTGTAAGGTTCTGAATATGGACGAAAGTTGTTTACTATAAGTATCACTTCAGAATTTGGAGAACCTTCCATATCCTTCTACAGGGAAAAACTGAAACTATTCCAATTGAGTGACCCTTGCAGACATTGTTTCGATCGTTATTTATCAGATCACATTTTAGAATCACGTTCGAAGATAATGCAGACTTCTACCTGATTCAACCGAAATCGACGAAATTGTCAAACTTTGCGAATCAGAAGAAGCTGCATCATCTGAAGAAAAACAGTCTAACAAAGTAGTGGACAGCGTCAACCAGGAAAGTCAGCGAAGGCGTAGGACCACTCGAAAATGTTCCCGATGCAACCAAAATTGTCATAAGAGTCTCAAAGATTGCCCAGCAAGGAATACCATTTGTGACGAATATTGAAGGTCCCCTAATACGTTTTTGTCGCACAAAGTTTATTAGTGAGGTTAATGAGGGACCTCGTGAGAAATATTCTGAAAGGGAAAGTTCTCATATAACTACGGTTTGAATTAATCAGATAACATCCAATCGACGACAAATTCAGATATGCGTGGAAGTATCCGAAACAAAATTAAGTAAAAAAAACTTCCATGTATTTGGTGACTTCTGATACGGGTGCAGAAATATGTGTAGCTGGTGAAGAATTCTTAGCCACAACGTCATTTCAAGTCGACCAGTTGAATCCTACCGACTGCGCCATGTGAGGTTCTGAATATAGACGAAAGTTGTTTATCAAGTATAACTTTTCGATTCAAAACCAATCAATATGACAATAACTGTCAATCTCCTTTTGTCTCACTATAGGGTGTATCCACAACTCATTATAATTAACAATCGTTAACAATATTATCATACCACATCATCCATCATCAATAGATGTATAGTGATTTTCTTCAATTTCCCCCCTTTTATTTTTTGAACGGGTCAACGAAAAACATTGATACTTGGGGCAATGGAAGTGATGCATGAATACTATATTTTGAAGTAAAATTAACAGATGAAATTTTCCAGATGGCTACTGGGCTCTGTATCTCATAAACGGAAAGAGTTATGCAATATCAGATTAGACTATCTTGAGTTTCACAAATAAGTGGCACATGACCGCAAAAACCTCAGCATCGAAAACTGGACACACTGTACATTCAATTCGCCCATGATGATGATTTCTGCTGCTGGATGGTTCTGCCCAATAAGGTCTAGCCAAGGAGAAGAACTATGTTGAGATCGTTACATCATTCATGAATATTTGTGGGTGTCTTAGACTCGGTTTTAGATATTACAAAATTGCATCAAAGGTCCATTTACTTGCTCGCAAACATTCCTCTGATGCATTCCAAGCTATGCAAATCACATACCCAGTTATATTTGACACACAATAATCGAAATTCCTCAATAATTGATACTTATACCGTGCTAGCATAGTTATTTCAACATACACGAAACCCGAGCATAAACCCTTATAAATATTGTCTTCTGATATTCTGATTCACTGATTCACTGATTGAAATTCGAAGATGTTTCCTAGATGAGGTGCTGAAATCAGAACAATTCCATTCTTGAACAGTCAATTAGATTTTAGTTGATTCCGTAGCATCAACTTTACCAAAGCTGCTTCACCTGTTGTGGAATATTGAGCGGTTAGTGATTAGTTATAGGAAGATGATAGGTATATCTACTGAAGAATTCTGTGCAGTTTTGGAAACTTCCACATAAAATATCATATTCTCTGTGAATATCTCAGAAAATATAGATAATCCATGTGCCTACCCAGATAACTCTGTTCATAGATCATTGAATTCATGAGAAAATTAAATCAATGTATTTTCAGAAATTTTCCTAAAGAAAACAAAAATGTAGAGTTGGAAATCAATCAATTAGTCATACAACATTCAAAATTGAATCTCTGCCCACCGCCTCATCAATCTTCCATGTCAATCACTATAACATACCACATTTAATCTTGAAAACTGAGCCAATTATAAGCGAACTGTTTTACTGATCTGGAGCATCTGCAAAATTCGTTGGAAATACTATGCTTGCTTCTTTTAGAAAATCAACATTCATCACATATCCAAAAAAAGTCGGTATTCGAACAAATATTCTACTTCTCTCTTTCACTTCGATGTTGGCGGTCATTCTGAAAAAGTACCTACATATATGAGAATTTGTCTAAATCGGTCCCAGTTGGCCACGAGTATGTGTTTGAATGCGGTCTCGAAGGAGATATCCGGTGTTCGTGGAAATAACCATTCTACATTCATTAGGGAAATTGCATCTGTTGAAATCCACCGCACTGGATTGCAGTTTGACTCGATTACTTCCGAAAGTCCACGTGAATTCATGTTTGTTTCCACTCTGCAGGAACATTGCCCGATCCTGACCGTGATTGTCAATCCTTGACTAATTTACATTGGGTTAAACCACGGTTCAGGGAATATACCGACTACCAAAAAATTCTTTGAGACAGCATAGATCTAAATATTTAGTTCTATGGAGACAGCAAATAAATTCGCTGGGTACTATTAATGAAAAGTTCAGATGGGCCAATCAATTGCAAAAGTGTTTTATTTTCGCTTAAACTGATGGGGACTTGTGGAATGGCAGAATAAGAAAACGAGTGTACCTATATTGGAACCGTCACTTTTATGACGTTGCAGTGACGTATCTATGACGTCTGGAAATCACGTCTGTGTGACGTACCGATTTGGTCATTCAGAAAATTTTCCATCAATTTGCTATTTGGATTTTTGTTGGGTGACAAATACTGCATGAATTTACGTTGCTCAACAAAGTCGAGCTCAATTCGCCAACATCCTTTTCATAGGTATGAAAATATTCTTGATTATTCCAAAATTTTTTGGTATTTTCTCCTCGTTTCTATAAAATAAAAATATGAATATAACGACAAATCAGATGATTTGCCCCAAAATGTCACTGCGTATAAAGAATTTTCCTATCAGACAGCCTAAAAGAAAAATTCACTACCTTGTCAGTGACAATTTGTATTGAATAAAGTTTGGAGACGAGAAATAAAAGTATCAAATTCAAATTTTCACTAATCTTTGAACGTTTCGGGACCGAATCTGCTCCCGTTTTCAACATAAAAAATGGCTATTTGAATAGCAAAGTCGTATCTGTCTTGAAACTTCAGTGCTCAGTGACATTTGGTGACGTTGGCAATCAAATGAGTTACAGGATGTTTTCATCAGTTAATCTTGAATTTACCATTTTTATGTTCAGATTTCAGTAGTGAATACCATGTTCTGCCTATATCAACTGAACAAGAAGCAATGTTATTGTCTCCGTTCAGAAGAATGTAAGCAGATTCCTTGATTCTTCTCTTCTGGTTGTTATCTTATTTTCCAATAATTTTAATATTATTCCATTCTGCCATATTTTGTCCGTCTTCAGTAAGGATATGTTCAGCTAGTTTCGATTTATCGATGTGTCTTTTCTTTATAGTGTACCTCGTCCTTACTGAAAGACGAGCTGAAAGAGGTCTGTTGAAAACGAGAGCATATTCGGTCCCAAAACGTACAAAGATAAGTGAAAACTTGATATTTTCTCTATATACGTTCATTTTTCTTCTCCAAACTTTTTTCAATGCAAATTGTCACTGACAAGCTAGTGAATTTTGTCTTATAGGCTCTCTGATAGGAAAATTCTTCAAACGCAGTGACATTTTGGGGCAAATCATCTGATTTGTCCTTACTACACGTATATTGGAATACATATTTTCATTTTATAGAAACGAGAAGAGAAAATACCAAAAAATTTTTTGGAATTATGAATGCACCACCTCCTCGATCAAGACAGACAATATTTAATCTATTCTTGGTTTGCTTACATCTTGCCGACACAAACTACATGATTTTTTATACAAATACGAGTAACTGATTTCATTCTGATGAAGATGCATACTGGAAGATAGCGCTGCTTAATAGACGATTGAATGGACCACCAAGCAGACTCAACAATGATTAATCAATATTATATGTCATCAGGTGTCAGTGGTGATTATCACACCATGTTCGAGGAAACGTTTTCACTGTCATCGCCAAATTTGTACGTCAATTTGACGTCATTTCGACGTCACAGTTTGGTGAGTGAATGACGTCAATAAACGTAGGAAATATGACGTAATTGGGCTGTTACTTATCCACGTCAATAATCACGTCAGACGACGTCAACTCCTGACGTCACCTTGGTCATTCAACTGACGTGAAAAGACGTCACTGAAACGTCATCTGGTTGCCTGGGGAGCACACTTCGAGTAACGCTGGCGCTGTTATCTAGCCTAACACAACAGAACTGGTGAGAGTGAGAATACTTGCCCTCCTTCGGTTCACAGTAAGAACCAGGCCACAGCTGCCATTCCCTTTCTTCATCAGCGAACCAAGATCCATCTCATCTCCGAATTCGTGTCCTTCCACTTACAGACTCGCACATCGGTCTTTCTCTCCAACACAAAGTAGCAGCGGCAAGATTCCGATCTAAATGTTCCACATTAACATACAGCCGCCATAAAATACTCAGTCGGCCAAGATAGTGAACCGGGCTACGTAGATATATCATCACGTTCTTCGTCCGAGCCAGGGAAAATTACACTTTATGGCGGCCCGAGGCTACAACGCCTCTACCTTTGTTATGTAACAGTTTTTATTTATTGGCAAAGTAAATTTCAATACTCGGTGCGATGAAATATGGCGTCTGGATACCGGACGCGATGCTCTCCATGCACGCTTCACGGGTCGCGGGAATATCGAAAACAATTAGCGGAGGTTTATGGTTGGTCGCTTGACCCCGGCTGGTGTCTTGGTTGGTAATGGAATACTTTGAATCAACCTGAAATTTCTCAGGATAAATCAATGAATTGAAGTTGCAAAGATGGTAAGTATGAGAAGATTGAATATGACATCCACGAATACCCGCGAATACCTTGAATATTCAGTAAAGAAGGTTCGGTGATGATGGGGCATAATGTGTTGTTTTCTTAATAGCATCTATACATTACGACGATGTCTTCGGTTTATATCATGCAATTACGATGAGAATGCACTTTGTCTCATTGAAATCGATAGTATATTATTCAACGAGCGCATAATGGCTATTACCCACGAAGATGTGAAAGTTGCAGTACGAGCCGAAGGCGAGTGCTGTAATCATCTGAGTAGGTGATAGTCATTATGTGTGAGTAGAATACTATACTTTATCCACAACTATTCAAATATCAAAGCAACTCTGAGAGTTCAGAAATATATCTTCGGAAATAATCGGAAATAATGAAGGTTATCATATTCTAAAATCACTAAATCTGATTGGAAATACTCATTAATTTCATCGAAAAGTTATTGACAGAAATTTCAATCAATGCACAGCTTATAACTTATTTCAATAATTTT